GAGGCATCCTTGTCAGATGCCCGAACCACCTCAGCTGGCTCCTTTCGATGTGGAGGAGCAGCGGCTCTACTCTGAGCCCCTCCCAGATGGCCGAACCTTTGTTTAACCACAGACATGAAAACCTAAACCTACAGCAGCGGTGCTGCTCGTCACCAACAGTCTCCACCTAGCGCCTGTCTGTGGCACCAAAGGACTCGCCCCAGCAGCAGCTCTCCTCTCCTCCCCAGTTCACCTCATCATCATAATCTGTGTAATGATTTACTTTTGTTTGTGTTTGACGAGGTCGGCGGTCTCGTCACATGTGTCACAAACCGTGTTGACTCCCCCACTGTTGACTCGATTAGCCGTCGTCATCAACTGACTGAGCGTGAGCAGTGATGCCTTTAGAGCCGTATTTCACACATCACTATGACAGACGAAAGAAGCCGTTTCTACCAATCATTAGACCGGGGGTCTCACATTAAATGAGCTGTGGGCCACTGCTGGCCCGGTCTACTCATGTGACGGCCGCTTTAGTGTTCAAGAAACAACAAGAAAACACCCACAAATATTTCCAAAAATGTTTTGTTTTGTTTTGTTTTGTTTCCAAATATTGTATAAGAAGACAAAGCTGCAAAAATGAACGCGATTTTTTTTGTAACTGAAGCCTTTGATTGAACTACCAAATAAACATAGTGGCCGTCTCTGTCTGGTCAGACGTGGCAGCACTGCTGCTGCCATTGTGTTCACAAGTGTTGACATTAGTTTGTGACTCTGTCACTGAACTAACCTCAGCATATCTCTGTCACCTTCATATTAAATCATTTTTGGCTTTTTAAAGAACTTATTTGAACATTGTGCTCAACAACAAACAAATCCTCAAACAAAAAAGTCACTTCAGAGACAAATTGCATTTGATTTCTTCAGGTCGATGTGTAAGCAGGGGCTGACGTGGGCTACAAGTGGACCCAGGGCCACGAGTTTGAGAGCCCTGATTTAGACGATCCTAATGATGTAATTACTTCCCACTGTGTTTAAAATGATTAAAATCACTAAAATATCAGTATATTTATATTTATTGTAGAACATAAACATCTGGGTTTGGTTCACGACAAAGGGGAACTGCAGATGTGCAGTCGAGTGGACGTCGTGGTGACAAAGCTGTAACAAAGCTCTCGATCGACGTCCCGACCCTGACCTGTGCTCACGGGTTTTGAGCAGCGACTAAAAGAACAACACGGCGACTACGAGCTGCAGAAATGAGCTTTGTCCAGTGTGTGGCTGCCCTCAGAGGACTGCGGTTGCCGAGGAACGATCAGATGGATTATACTGAATATGTTTTACTTTATACATTCATTGAACTCTTCATGAACGCGCAGGAGATTATTTACTAAACGTTAATATTCACAACTCTGATAACTTTCAATGACTGACCATGTCTCCTGTTTGTATGATTCAATATTCAAAACTATAATTAGTGGGGGAGGTTTCAATCAGAATACATCCCAATAAAGAAAAGAAACAGATACAAGGTGTACATTTGATTTGGTTGAGATTAAATTTGTTTTTCAGCCCTGAATTGAGCTGTTGAACGGCCAAGGTTACGAGAAAAACTGGAAACAATGATTTGAGAATCAGAATACTTTATTCATCCCGGGGGGAAATGTAATCTGATTAAAAAACACCAGATGTAGTGCATGCTTGTACGTTGGACAGTTTTAATAATAATATGATTCAGATTCATTAAATCTAAAACTATTATACAAACAATGAGCTGATTGTGAGGGAACTTGTGTCCAAAGCTGGACTCTTTTAGCTCATTTTTGATGCTTCTGGTGTTTCAAGCCACATTTCAAGTGTCAGTTATTGGAGCTTAACTATGCAGATATAGTGTAGTACAGACGCCCCACAGACAGACTTGTGGTAATGAGTATTTATTCAAAGACCACAGAGGAGAGAATGCATATGTTGATCATTTACAGATGAAAGGTGATGAGAACATAAAGGAGGAGGAGCTCCTCCCCCCACAAACACAGTAAACACACATCCAATCAAGTGCATCATGTCTCACTTAAATGAGTTTCACTGCAACTCACCTCATTTTAAAATATAAGTGCTGTGTCAAAACGTTATTAGAGCCATGGTTAGACCTGCTCTGATGCAAACAAATGAAATCATTTGTAGAAAGTGAGTCGGGAATGGCGCCGCTGACCACAGACGCTGTAGCGTGTAAAGGGGGAAACGCAGAATATCATCATGGTTTCACAAGTTGTTTTTGAGAATGAAGTCATATTCTCTGCTTCAGGTGTAGAATATGTCAGAATAAACATACATGACCACTTCATTTGGTACACCTGTTTGACTGCTCATTTACAGCCAATCACAAGACTTTTTCCTCCACGATCGTGTCTAAGTTTACAGAGAACGGTCTGAAAAAGGAGAAAACACACGACACGTTAGCAGCAGCAGCAAGTACAGGAGGCTACAGATCACTCCGGACGACAGAAGTTTGCAAAAACACCCTGATGAGTCTTCATTTCTACTACAATATTCAGATGATAGTGTCCGAATTTCAACACAGTGAAAGCATGGACGCGCCGTGGCCTGCAGCAGTGGTCCAGGCTCTGTGTGCCGGTATTAAAGTGTGGGTACCAGCTGAGCATCGTTTAAACACCACAGCCTTCCTGGGTACTGCTGCTGACCTGGTTTAATCATCTTCTGATGGTGCAGGTTATCACACCGTGCCACAAAGCTCAAATCACCTCAGACTGCTTTCTTGAGTTCACTCCACAGCGTCCACTGTGGGGCAGCAGTCGAATCTGCAAACCGTGCAAATCTCTGAAGACTGTTTGCAGCGGCTGGATGCTGTAAGAGTGCAACCCAGCACTAGCAGAGTGTACCTAATAAACTGATCACATGTATATATGTTCTTTTGCTCACAATTGTAAAATTGTATGACATTCTAATGTGACTTTTTCTTAAAACATGACTTTTCCCCCTTAAAATCCAACTTTTTGTGAAAGCACAACTTCTTAAAAATACAATAAAAAAGTAACATTTTTAGACTTCTGTTTTCTTTAAACAGTGGCCCAGGTTCTCATATTTCTCCCACCTGTACAACCAATCCTGACTCTTCCATCAGTACATCGACAGCCTACAAGGTGAGAACGATTATGTGAAAGGGCTGTCGATGAAAACAAAATCCCTGAGGTTTAATTTCCAGGTGAAGAACTGGTTATGGCAGACTTTTCTTTTCCAAATAATTAATCTTCAGTTTTCTTCGTTGCATAAACTTTGTACAGTGAACGAAAAATATGAAGCGGTACCGGAGCTGAAGCGAGGGATTCAAAGTGAAGGCAGAAGTTCAACGAGCTTCGCTCCAAGTGTTGAAAAATGACGCTGTTTGGAATAAAGTAGAAAAACTGGATATAATTACAAACAGAGACTGTAGAAACCAGGCTGCATCAAAGTGCTCATATAAAGAAATAATCATTCATATTTACATATTTTTGTACAGCTTTCAGCTAACAAAATGATTCAGGCTGATGTTGATGCCAAATGCTGAGGATAAGTGAGAAGAGGGCCTCCTCTTCCTCCTCTGTAAACAAGAGATTAAATAGACTGGAGTGATGTGAACCCAGTGACTGCACGCTGCCATTCATTGTCTTCAGCAATAACACCAAACATAGTTTAATTCTATTGGATGCACACAAGGACATTTGGGGTTTAGTACATTTTAGGGGACAAAGTGCTGAGTTGTCTTAAATTTGACTCAGTTTTCTTGTTCGCCTCACTGAGCACTCTGTTTCTTACTTCCTGAGAGAAGACTCAGGCCCCCACAATGCCACATTTCCAGGAGTTCACCGTGCCATAAGTGCTAAAGTTCAGATACTCGTTGGGTATCAAAGGAACAAACATTTTGACTTGCAGCAGGGAAACCAATGGCTCATCTCCACTCACTCAGTCAGCAACTTGCTCACCCCTTTTGTCTGTTAGCGAGCACTGCTGAGCATCATGAAACTTTGTGGCGAGATCAAGCGTAGGATCGATAAGTTATTATATTTTATTGCATAACTGAATGCCTTTCTTTAGAAATGCAAAATAGGGCATCGGTATTAGAAGTCCCCTCCGAGCTTGCCTGACCTTTTCCTCCTCTGACAAACCAAACATGTCCGCTGTGAACGAGTATCTGTGTTTAAATATTCCACATTTAGATTGATTCAGACCAGAAAGTTACTTCTGTTTTTCCTGAACCAGCCCGCATGAGATGCACAACATGAACTGCTAATTCTGTCTGCGTGCTAGCTAGCCCAGGAAGAGGGTGGCCCTGGTGACCTCAAAGTGGAATTTGCGAGTTTGTTGCCATGTTGGCATGTTTACATTGGAAATCTTTGTTGTGTTTACACTAAGATCAAAGCATTCAGCATTCAGTAAAGCTTTCCTTTTTGGAGGACAGGAATCAGAACATCAAACGTAACAGTGCCGCTACGTTAGCTGGTAGGCAACTGCTACCTGCCAGTTAGCAAGCTAGCTAATTAGGCAAAAGGTTATTAAAGACATAACTGTCCCATTACTTTCAGTTCTTTTGTGGGGCACTTTATTCTCCAGAGGAGCAGTTGCAGCTGAAAGCTGAAGGTGCAACACAGCTAATATCTTGCCTTGGTGAAACTTCACGAAATATTAAGTCTATGCATTGCTATGGTTCTGACATAAACATAACTAGTAGGCTTGGCTGTTAAATGTCGCCATCATAAATGCTGCTCTGTATGCGCCTGTACCTGGGGACCCCATCTACTTTGAACAAAACTGGCATATTAGCACATTAGCAGCTAGTTTGGTACGCCCACAAAGACTAAGGACCAGAATAAATTCACATGCAGCTAGCTGCTAGCAGCTAGTTGCTTCTAGCTAGCTGCTAGCAGCTAGCAGCACTCTGCTTTGCTTCTAACTAGCTGCTAGCAGCTAGCTAGAAGCAAAGCAGAAATGTTTTTGTTAGCTGCTAGCAGCTAGCTAGAAGCAAAGCAGAAATGTTTTGTTGTTGGCTGCCAAAGAGAACACTGCATCAATTCTTGGATGTGAAAAGCGAATGTCCCCCCAACAAAAAGAAGATCCATCTATGTTTAATGTTAGCCACATTAGCAGTGAATGTGACTGGACCGATAGCATGAGCCCCATCTCATTTTTCTATACATTACTTTTAAAAAGTATCTTAGCGTTACTCTACAGTTTGTGTCCGCAGATTCAGAGATATTATCCGATTGCTCCAGAGGACCACCCACTTGGGTTCATGTTGATTTATATTTAAAGTACCAACAGATACAAAGCTAGGAAATAAATACATAAGCAAAACATACATTTTGTACATCTAAAGCAATAATTTCCCCAAATCTTGTGAGGTCCTCAGGTAAAACAGGCGATGTGCAAAAAAGCTTTAGTTTCAAATGAGTGGCTGCACTTTGATTTTGTTTTAGGCTGCGTGATATTTGTATTGTTGTCGATTCCCATGTGGCACCCGTTATTGTCCTTTAGCCACAGCAGTACTCACAGATGCCGACTTAAAGGGAAATTGCAGTCTTTTACAAATTACAAATACCTGAATTTCCCTTCAAGAGAACAAGGAGGGCTGTTTCTGAAGTCATGTAAGGAGCAACAGACAGAAGCCCTTCTTAAGTGTCCAAGTGTGCTGAAGTGGGGGCCAGCTCAGTATGTCCGTGGTCCCGGGGTGAAAAGCAGTCGTCAGAATGGATGAAATGCAGGGCAGTCTGGTTGTAGCTCTGCAGGGCCTGCTGCTTTTCCACTGCGCTGAAATACAGCGAGTGAGGGTGGACCTGCTGAATATGCCTTTTAATAGTGCTGACCTTCAGTGTGGCCAGAGTGGCTCCACACACCATGCAGATCAGCCCGTGCCTCCTACAGTCGTAATCCATCAAGTAATCTGTCCGCCAGCGCACCTGGTAGTTCCTCCTCTGGTCCTTGCCGGGGTAATGACCATGACGAGAAGGTGTGTTTGCAGCGCCGCCATCCTTTGATTTGCCCTTGGCTTCGCCCACAGCTTCCTCCTTTATCACCAGTTTGCTGGGTATTTTGACATCAGGGGAGGCGTCTTCATTTGTCTCTCCTGCGGTACTGAGGACATCAACTTCACTGGGGTTGATTTCTGTGGGAAAAAATAAGAGGGAGGGGGATGCCAGATTCTTGCCTAGTTCCACCACAAAATCAAGTCACACGCTAGTGTCTTTGCTTGTTGTACCTGATAGCACTTTTCCAGCCTTTCTAACCACCCACAGTGCTGACTCAAGTGGCGTCTTCACGGTAAGTTGCAAACAAGCTATGTTAATACACGCTATGTGATTAGCACTCCCGCCTGGTTTGACCGAGCCAGGACCTCATAAGTTCTCCCTGTGCCTGCATGTGAATCAGATTAATTTATACACTTTAAACTGAATGCATGTATGGTTAAACTGTGACTTGTAGTCTAAAGTGCTTTGAGTGGTCAGTAAGGTTAGAAATAGTTAATAAACAAGCAAACTATCATCTTCATTTTTCAATAAAACCCTAACAGAACAATGTTCCTGACAAAGCGCGCGTTGTTTAACAGATTATCTGCTGCATTAGCTAACTTACTCGCTACACTGCAATTCTTGTGGAATCTTTTACTGACTGTATCAGCTGTGAAATGTCAGTTTCGGCTGGACTCTATAGATAATTGCAAATGCTGAGATTTACGTATTTTTCGGATTATAAAACGCACCAGATTATAAGGCACACTAAGCGAAACAAAACAGTTAGATAAGTCAAACTTTACTCAACTCATTCTTCTTGCTTCCGTACCATTGATTCATTAATGCTGAATTCTCTGGCAGCTGCTCTATTCCCATGTTGTTGCAGTCTATTAATGACTAACCTC